CTTCGTCCGGGAAGGCCCAGGGCGCCAGCAGGTCCACGCCCGGCGCCTGGCCCGGCAGGAAGGGCTTCGCCTCCGGCCCGTCCGCCAGGGCCCCGAGGCCGCCCGGGTCGAGCCCCCAGCCCTCCGGAGTCCGCGCAGAGTCGGAGTCGTCGTCGTCGTCGGGGCCCCACGTCCCTGGCACATCCCCCACACCATAGGCCGCCGACCACAACCCCGGGGGCTCATTCTCCTCCTCCGCCACCTCCGCCAGGAAGTCCTCGTCTTCCTCGTGGTCCTCTATGTCCTCGGTCCAGAACCAAGCACCTGAAGGCGACAAGGGAAGGCCAGAGGGGCGCTAAGAACAGGCCGTCGGGGCCCCTGCGGGCGTCTGCTCTGGGAAACCTCGGCCTCGGCGGGACCGGCTGCCCCGGCGCTCTGCTCAGCTTTCCTCCCTCTCTGGGTTCTTCTCTCCAGCCAGCAACCAGGGCTCTCCCTCCTACCCCAGAGCAGAGCCAGGAAGGGCTGCCCTGGGCCAAGGGGAGCTGGGGCGCTCTGCACTCACCCCAAGAGGCTCCAGCACCTGCCTGGGCACAGCCCAGGCCTCCCTGCTAAGCTATCCCCCAGCTCCGCTTTTTCTGAGCAGCTGTGCCTCCGGGAGATGGTCCCGAGTTGGGTGAGACTGCTGGTGACCTGCAAGCCACCTCCTGTCACAAAAGGACAAGGAGTCCCAAGTTCCTGCTGTCTCGGCCCCTCCACAGAGCCACACCCGACCCCTCCCTTCAGTGCAGAGCATGGGACTGGGGCCAGGTCAGTAGGGCTTCCTGGTATATAAAGTGGGAGCGCTGGGAGGCCTGCCATGGTGACCCACCCTGGAGGGAACTAGTATTTACGGCACAAGCACCCAGTCACACAGGGAGCAGAGGGCAAACACCTGGCCCAGGCGTTCCCAAGCACCTGCACACTTTCTCATGTGCACTGTGCTGTGTGTGTCCACATGGGGATGCATTGGGCTGCAGCCCACCGGCATGGGAAAATACGGCCAGAATTCAAAACTCAGATGTGGCCCAACTTGTCAGGAAGCACAAGGCAGGAATACACTTATGTTCTGCAAGGCTGCAATCTAGAAACACAGAAACCCTGTTGGGTCAGAACAGTCAGCATCAGTCCTGCCCAGACCCAGAACCTCGACTGGCTCAGCTGCACAGAAATGGAGGGAAGGGAGGCCGTTCAGCAGGCAGGCTGCAGGAACTCACCCTGCACAGTGACACCTGTAGACAGGTGACACATCTAGCACTATGCTTGCATCCTACCCACCTCACTCTGCAGGTGGTCGGGGCTGGGGGTGAGGGGTAGAGGAGCATTCCAGGCCTCTAGCCAAGTTCACGGGCACATTGTGGCTCCACCCCAGGACCCTCTGAGAACCATGGAGAACGGGGCACATCAGGACCCCATGACAAGGGACTGGCCAGCACCGGCCTGTGACCCCTTCACCTCCGGGTGGCTTTTCTGAGATGTGCCTCTAAGACCCTCTGAGACTCATCACCGACATCCCAGTTTCATTCTGGAGGCAGCAGCAATATTTCTCGCTGGCCAGAGCCCCCATGATTCTGGAATCCAGGAGAGATTCCAAGAGGATCCCAGAGAATGGACACCTGGGCAGAAAGCACACCCTGACACAGTAGAGAGTGAGGCCTGAGGCCCAGCCCACTGAGGGCAAGTCAGGTCATCACCACTTGAAAGGTCATGTGCAAGGTGAGACTAATCCCCCTGCCCTGCTGTTTCAGAGGGTTGTTATGAGCACAAAACGTACGTGGGGAAATACTCTGAAGAACACACGTGTAGGCAGAGCACTGTCTGTGTTTGTTTGTATTTTTTATTTTAAAACACATCTATGAGTCTATCCAGGCATGTGACTGGCAGGAGACATCCAGGGACCCTCACTAGGCTGGTGTCACTCCAGCCCAAAGCCCAGTACACCTACTGTACGCAGGCCTCCCCAGAACCTTCTGAAACACTGAAAACAACTCACAGACCTCCACGAGACACCTCCACAGAACCAACAGTCCGATGTCCTCAGGGTGGAAACTACAGATCAGTTCACATTCTTTATTTTCCAGACCAGATGGAGGAGCAGAACCAGAGCCAGAGCCAGAGCCAGGCCCCAGGTCTCTGGAGACATCTGCCACCCAGAGCGCTTCCTGTAAGAATCTCTCCACAATCTCCTCTCTGGAAGATCCAGAGCTGCCTGCCGGGGCCAGAGGCCTGTCCCCAGGCCTTCCAGGGAGAGGAGGGAAGGATAAGAGGGACCCACTGTTCAGAGATGGCCAAATGGTTGGAGAAGCCAGAGCAGAGCCAGGGCAGAGTCTGCTCGGCACCTGTAGCTAGCCCCTCTGAGCGATGATAACTTAACAACCGGCCCTCATTTACAAAACAAAACAAAACAAAAAACCAGAGATTCCAAGGCAAGGACAAGGGATCATTTTTAAGGCCTCCTAAAAGGAAACTCTAAGTTCCTAAGGACACCCCCCCTGCCCTCCCAGGTCTCCACAGATTGAGACCAACAGGAGCCAGCCCACGAAGGCAGAAGTTAGCCCGTGGTGACCACACTGTCTCCACAAAACCCACCCCACAGCCCTAACCACCAGTATCAGGCCGAGGCAGAAAGCTAAGGTGAAGGCCAAAGTCTGGCCTCCAAAGAGCTGTGTCGGCAGGAACCCCAGGAGATCCTGTCTCATGCTCACCTGTATAGACACCAGTGACAATGTCTCCCTCCTCAGGACGGGGGCTGTCTGGGACCCAAGGTTCCTCTCCTTGTTCCAGCCGGGAGATCAGATCCGGCTTGGGGATGGGGTATCCTGGCATGGAGAGAAACAGAGGGCAGCTGTGGCTGTGCCCGCAGGCCCCACCCTCACGCCAGAAGCACTGTCCTCAACTCCTCAGTTCCTCTCCTCATCCTTTCCAGAACCAGCCCTCCTACCTCCCTGCTCCACTCTGGAAAATCCCACATTCCCTTCTCTCTAGGGCATTGCCCCAATACCCCCGGCTCTCCTGCCAAGCCCCTCCACACCTGCAGGGTGCCCACTCCTCTCCGCTGCCATCCCTGGAGGCCTGGCGGCTCTCCAGAACACATCCACCTGGCTCATGGCACTGCTGGGCCATACTGGGGATCCCATGACACTCTGCCCCATCCAGAAGCTGGGTTGTCCCTGAGGTTTCCCTGGGCTGTGAGCTGGCTCCAGCACCCCCTTCTCCAAGACCCTGTGGCTCCAGAAGCCACCCTCACCGACAGCTGAGCCCCTGGCCGCCATTGCACCAGGAGGCGCCTTGGGGACAAAAGGCCCCTGCTTACCCAGGGACACCAGGATCCCATAGTTCTCCTGCATGACTTCCTTATAGAGGTCCCGCTGCTCGGCAGCCAGCCCTTCCCACTCCTCCAGGGAGAAGTATACAGCCACATCCTCAAAGGTCACCAGCCCCTGGGGAACAAAGCACCCGGTCACTGCTCCAAACTGCCCAGGTGAAGGGCAGGGCTGCAAAGGGAGTGACGGAAGATGACCTCAACAGGACGACTGTGGCCCTGAAACAGGGAGCCCACGGGGACACCGCCCAACCCCATTACCAGCAGACCTGCAAAAGCCCAACAGTACTACGGGCTTCCTGGCCTTGCCAAGGCCCTTCTACACAGGGACTCCATTCCCATCAGAGATCAGGGACCCAGGCTCGGAGAGGGCAAACACCCAGCTCACTCGGGGCAGGGGCAGGATTCACAGAGGTCAGGACGAGGAAGCCCAGGCCCTCACGGCTGTGCTGCGTGCCTGCCTTGTCCCCTCCTACTTCACCGTCCGGCTCAGGCCAGCGGTCGCGTCAGCATTGTGAGGGCCCAAAGCTGGCTGGACAAGTGGCACCAGCTAAACTGAGTGTGGGCACTGGCGCCCAATCTCACTGGGCTCAGCAGGAAATCAGAGCCTGGACAAGTGGCAGGCACTCTAGGTGCGGGGCACAGCCTGACTCTGGAGACAGCCAGGCCTCTGAAGGAACTGCTCAGAACCGGTGAGTGGGTGGTGGTAAACGCCATCGGGACATTCCAATGGCCTGGGGAGGGTGGGCCCCAGGCGAGTAGAACCACATCCCGTGGCCTTGGGGATGGAGGTGCCTGGCACTTTCTGCAGCCACATCCCAGCTCACAGCCTGGGCTCAGCCTGTGGACACAGTGCCACTGCCCTGCCAACAGGGGTCTCTGGGACAGCAGGTGGCAAGCCCCCTGGGGAAACCCTGCCTGGTTCCTGGGAAACTGAGCTCTAAATGAGAGGGCAGCTCACTTGAGACCCAGCTGCCAGGTCGTCCAGGTCGTCCAGGTCCTCCAGGTCCTCCAGATCCTCCAGGTCATCCTCCCCAAGCACGGCTGGAGCCCGGGAGGCCTGCGGGGCTGAGGGGAAAGATCTCTGAGGGGCCAGTGGCCTGCAGCGCTGGGCCGCAGCCCTGGCCACCTTTGTGCATCCAGCAAGCAGGGGCAGGAGCTCCTGGTGACTCCCCCATTTCAAAGCCTGGGCCCTGACACCCCAGCTCCAGCTCCAGCCTATTGGGCCAGAGAGCCCCCA